CTCTCTCGTTTACAATGGAAATCTCTAAGACTACGTATTTCATCTACAAATTTGTATATTTTATTGTGCTGGGTACACATACGCACCCACGTCCCCCTTGTTGGAGTTCATGGGTTCAAATCTTAGGCATTAACACTAATATATATATTTTTTGAAATTTGTTTAATTATCCATGGGGAAGTGGAATGAGAATCTTTCCTCCATAAGCCATGCATGTTGTAAAAGTCAACTAAAATGCCAGGAACAATGGGCTAGTATAGTTTACTAAAAAGCAAAAGAAGAAAATTGTCAGAATTATTTTATATTCTTTTCAAAATTGTACATACAGAAGGTCTTTCAATTTGAGGTGTAGACAGTCATATAGAGAAACTACTTAGAATGCGAGTCTATTATTATTACTACTAAGAACATGAATCATATAGTAGTATATGAAGAATGAGAGTCTTATAACTACTAAGAACACAAGTCATATGGTATAGTGCAACTACAGTAGACAACCACTTTTTACACCCATCAGGTTCTGGAAAAGCAGAACTGTATGTGAAAATTCAATGGCTGGAGTGAACTAATGGGAAAAATTAATTTACATGACATGACACTTTGATAAAAGCCACACAAGTTCTTTCAAATCTTAAGTCATCAATACTGATGATTTTTCCAACAACTTACACTGCAGATATTGTTTCTTATTGATCTAGAAATGTGTGGAGAGAGTCCATGTTGCCATACTAGGCCTAGTTGGATATAGCGAGGTTTAGATCCTCAGACGTGTACAATGTTTGACTTAAATGGGTTATTCAAAGTTAAATTTGCATAATGTACTTTTTAAGTGACCATACAGTGTAAGCCAACAAGACCATTATAAAAACAAACTGCACATGCACCCAAAAAAAAAACACACATTAAATAAAGTGATTTATGCTTGTGTTCACATAGAGGACCCATACTAACCAACCTATGGTGTATAAAAATATAGTACCTAGTTGGATGAACCCTATCAAGAACCAGCTGGCCTAGTAGTTAGCACATTGGCATGGGAGTTTTATGCTTTCCCTGCCGTGGGTTTGAGCCCCACCTATTCTGTGATTTACTTAATTAGGTAAAGCTTCTGAGATATGCATGTTTTTTACAGTTACTGTGTATTTCACAGAAAATGTGCATGCAGTCCTTCCAGAGAAAAGAGCCATAGCTAATACAATGCTTGAGGCTATAATATCTACACACATCCCCCAAGCCATCTCCTTCATCTTGGAGGCTAATTTTCTTGTTTTTCTTTTAAAAATACTCAGACTAACATTTATTCCTCTTCTTTGCACCTCCAGTATTATTATAATTTGTTTTTTTATACCATGGTTAACATCCAGAAACAAGACAGGGTAATAAAAAGACAACCAGTGCAAACAACAGAGTAGGTGGGTGGAGGAGCAGTGGCGTGGGGCTGTGAGTGAGGCAGCCAGCTGCATCAGCCAGTCACTAAGTCACCCCACCTCAGTCTCTCTCTCTCTCTAGATAGTGAGCAGAGAACATCTCCTTTTAGTCACTCATGATTTTCAGTTGTTAAATCAGTGATGTCTGACAAACCTCTTCCCAATAAATGTGAGCTCTCAATACATATACGTATAGTGATTGTACGCAAAATATGAATGTATATAGTTAAAAACTAACCGATAAATTTTGTTAATAATTCAGCCTTAACAAAACAAATATAAAATCTTTAGTTATTGACCAATCTCTATTAAACAAATGTGAGCTCTCAATACATGCACAGGATGCACATACACACAGAATGAGCGCATCTGGTAAAAAACTGTCGAAATTTAACTGACAGAGACAAAAAACATGTGAAGTAGTGAAACTTTCCAGCAAAAGGTAGAATTTTTTTTTTTTTTTAACAAGTCAGCCATCTCCCACTGAGGCAGGGTGACCCAAAAAGAAAGAAAATCCCCAAAAAGAAAATACTTTCATCATCATTCAACACTTTCACCTCACTCACACATAATCACTGTTTTTGCAGAGGTGCTCAGAATACAACAGTCTAGAAGCATACACATATAAAGATACACAACATATCCCTGAATCCCTTCACTAAATATTACCCTGCTCACACTCCAACAGATTGTCAGATCCCAAATACCATTCGTCTCTATTCACTTCTATCGAACACGCTCATGCACGCCTGCTGGAAGTCCAAGCCCCTCGCCCACAAAACCTCCCTTACCACTTCCTTCCAACCTTTTCAAGGATGACCCCTACCCCGCCTTCCTTCCCCTACAGATTTATACGCTCTCCATGTCATTCTACTTTGATCCATTCTCTCTAAATGACCAAACCACCTCAACAACCCCTCTTCTGCCCTCTGACTAATACTTTTAATAACTCCACACCTTCTCCTAATTTCCACACTCCGAATTTTCTGCATAATATTTACACCACACATTGCCCTTAAACAGGACATCTCCACTGCCTCCACCGTCTCCTCGCTGCAGCATTTACCACCCAAGCTTCACACCCATATAAGAGTGTTGGTACTACTATACTTTCATACATTCCCTTCCTTGCCTCCATAGATAATGTTTTTTATCTCCAAATATACTTCAATGCACCACTCACCTTTTTTCCCTCATCAATTCTATGATTAACCTCTTTTTTTTTTTTTCAACAAGCCGGCCGTCTCCCACCGAGGCAGGGTGACCCAAAAAAGAACGAAAATCCCCAAAAAGAAAATACTTTCATCATCATTCAACACTTTCACCACACTTGCACATTATCACTGTTTTTGCAGAGGTGCTCAGAATACAACAGTCTAGAAGCATACACATATAAAGATACACAACATATCCCTCCAAACTGCCAATATCCCAAACCCCTCCTTTAAAGTGCAGGCATTGTACTTCCAGCAAGCGTGCGTGAGCGTGTTAGATAGGAGTGAATGGAGACGAATGGTACTTGGGACCTGACGATCTGTTGGAGTGTGAGCAGGGTAATATTTAGTGAAGGGATTCAGGGAAACCGGTTATTTTCATATGATTAACCTCATCTTTCATAAATTCATCTGCTGACACGTCAACTCCTCCTCCTCCCCAATATCAAATTTTTCTTTATCTAAATCATTTGATACCCTCATCATCTTACTCTTTTCTATGTTCACTTTCAACTTTCTACTCTTACACACACTCTCGAACTCATTCACTAACCTTTGCAATTTTTCTTTAGAATCTCCCATAAGCACAGTATCATCAGCAAAAAGTAACTCTGTCAATTCCCATTTTGTATTTAATTCCCAATAATTTAATCCCACCCCTCTCCCGAACACCCTAGCATTTACTTCTTTTACAACCCCATCTATAAATATATTAAACAACCATGGTGACATTACACATCCCTGTCTAAGACCTAATTTTACTAGGAAGTAGTCTCCCTCTCTTCTACACACCCTAACCTGAGCCTCACTATCCTCATAAAAACTCTTTACAGCATTTAGCAACTTACCACCTATTCCATATACTTGCAACATCTGCCACATTGCTCCCTTATCCACTCAATCATATGCCTTTTCTAAATCCATAAATGCAATAAAAACTTCCCTACCTTTATCTAAATACTGTTCACATATATGCTTCAATGTAAACACTTGATCTACACATCCCCTACCCACTCTGAAACCACCTTGTTCATCTGCAATCCTACATTCTGTCTTACCTCTAATTTTCAATTATAACTCTACCGTACACTTTTCCTGGTATACTCAGTAAACTTATTCCTTTATAATTTTTACAATCTCGTTTGTCTCCCTTCCCTTTATATAATAGGATTATACATGCTCTCTACCAATCCCTAGGTACCTTCCCCTCTTTCATACATTTATTAAACAAAAATAACAACCACTCCAACACTATATCCCCCCCTGCTTTTAACATTTCTGTAATGATCCCGTCAGTTCCAGCTGCTTTACCCCCTTTCATTCTACGTAATGCCTCACGCACCTCCCCCACACTAACATACTGTTCTTCTTCACTCCTAAAAGATGGTATACCTCCCTGGCCAGTGCATGAAATTACTGCTTCCTTTTCTTCGTCTACATTTAAAAGTTCCTCAAAATATTCTCGCCATCTACCCAAAACTTCCATCTCCCCATCTACTAACTCACTACTCTGTTTTTAACTGACAAATCCATTAGTTCTCTAGGCTTTCTTAACTTGTTTAACTCACTCCAAAATTTTTTTTGTTTTCATTAAAATTCCTTGACAGTGCCTCTCCCACTCTATCATCTGCTCTCCTTTTGCACTCTCTCACCACTCTCTTCACCTTTCTTTTACTCTCTATATACTCTACTCTTTTTATAACACTTCTGCTTTGTAAAAACCTCTTCTTCATAAAATATGTATTACTTATTACCAAACCTCTTTCCACACATAGCTCAATTAAAGGCTCCCCATTTTCATTTACCCCTGGCACCTCAAATTTACCTACTACTCCCTCCATAACATTTTTACCCACTTTAGCATTGAAATCCCCAATCACCATTACTCTCACACTTGGTTCAAAACTCCCCACGCATTCACTCAACATTTCCCAAAATCTGTCTCTCTCCTCTACACTTCTCTCTTCTCCAGGTGCATATACACTTACTATAACCCACTTTTCACATCCAATCTTTATTTTTGCCACATAAATAAATACAAAATAGATACAAAATAGATACATAAATAGATACATAAATAGATGCAAAAAATGAATCATGAACAGGCAGAAATGCAGTAGCTAGAGGTGATCGTGATGAAAGGTGATGGTTTACTGCACAAAAAACAAGAGTCAGAGTGTAACTACTAAGAACATAAGTGATATATATAATAACTACTAAGAACATGAGTGATACACAGTAACTACTAAGAACACATCATATAGTATAATTATTATTATTGCTTTAAATCATCAAATTATTCACTATAAAGTACACAAATCAAGCCCTCTAAACTATATTTTTGCAGTGCTCATCTCACCTTTGTTGACTTTATAGCTGTAGTTATTGTAGCTATAGATGCAGATGTTGTAGTAGTAGCAGTATTGCTGGATGTAGTGCTAATACTGCTGGTTATTGTAGAGACCTGTGGAAATTCTGGATCATATCCAGGAGCTAGTTTGAGGTCGTATTTTCCCTCAGCACCCATACGGTAGCTATTAGATGCCCCATGGTCCCATGTTACATCAATCCAGCCTAGTTGAGAGAAAATAAACGTAAAACAAGCACCATAAAGGTATACAGACACTGCTACCAGTGTCTACATACCTTTATGGTATGTAGTGTCTACATACCTTTATGGTATGTAGTGTCTACATACCTTTATGGTATGTAGTGTCTACATACCTTTATGGTATGTAGTGTCTACATACCATTATAGTATGTAGTGTCTACATACCTTTATGGTATGTAGTGTTCATACTTTATGGAATATAGTCCATACTTTATGGTATGTAGTGTCTACATACCATTTATGAATTAGTGTCTACATACCTTTATGGTATGTAGTGTCTACATACCTTTATGGTATGTAGTGTCTACATACCTTTATGGTATATAGTGTCTACATACCTTTATGGTACTGTATGTAGACACTTTTACTGAATTAAAAGAATTATTGATAATAAAGTATAATTAAATGATATACTGTATGTTTTTCTTGCATACACTGGCTGTTTTCCACCAAGGTAGGGGAACCCAGAGTACCCAATGTATTCAATATCACTCATTCAGTCCCTAGCTGTCTTTCCAGAAGTGCACATTACAATCAGAATCATCAAATTAATAATTTAAGAGATTCATTTCCCCAGATCTGATACTAATTAGTCACCTTAACAACACATCTAAATTATAATTTTAAAATTTTTTAATTAATACATTGGCCGTGTCCCACCCAGGCAGGGTGACCCAAAAAAGAAGAAACACTTTCATCATCATTCACTCCATCACTGTTTTGCTAGAGGCATGCCTCAACTACAGTTAAACACTGCAATATATCTTCACCCCCTCCTTCAGAGTGCAGGTACTGTACTTGAGACCTCCAGGACTTGAGTCCAGATAACTGGTTTCCCTGAATCCTTACATAAATGTTCCTTTGCTCACACTCCAACGGCATGTCAAGTCCTAAAAACCATTTCCCTTCACTCGCTCCAACCTATTATGCTCATGCATGCTTGCTGAAAGTCTAAGCCCCTCACACACGAAGCCTCCTTTACCCCCTCCCTTCAACCCTTCCTAGGACAACCCTTACCCCGCCTTCCTTCCATCACAGATTCGTACTCCCTCCAAGTCATTCTACCTCATTCCATCCTTTCTCCTCAGCCCTCTGGATAATACTTTTAGAAACCCCACACCTTCTTCCGATCTCCAAGCTACAGATTCTCTGCAAAATATTCACACTGCCTTCAGACATGACATCTCCACTGCCTCCAGCCTTCTGGCCACAACATTCACCACCCATGTTTCACATCCATATAAGAGCATTTGTTGGTACTACTATACTCTCATACTTACCCATCTTTCTTCCATAGATAATGTTCTTTGTCTCCACAGACTCCTAAGTGCATCATTCATCTTTTTTACCCTCATTAATTCTATGATTCACCTTGTCTTTCATTGACCATCTGCTCACAAGTCCACTCCCAAATATCTGAACACATTCACTCCCTCCATACACCCTCCCTCCAATCTGATATCCAACCTTTCATTACCTAATTTTTTTTATCCTCATCATCTTGCTCTTCCCTATGTCCACTTTTAATTTCCTTCTTTTATATACCCCTCCAAACTCATCCACCACCCAAACTCATCCACCAACCTCTGCAACTTCTCTTCAGAATATCCCAAAAGCACAGTGTCATCAACAAAAAGCAATGTGACAACTCCCACTATGTGTTAGATTCTTTCTCTCTTCATCCCACACTTTATGCTAACACCTGAGAATTCCCTTCTTACAATTGTATCTATAAATATATTGAACAACCATGGTGACATCACTCATCCCTGTCTAAGGCCTACTTTTACTATGAAATAATTCTCATTCTCTCTCTCTCTCTCTCTCATTCTCTCTCTCTCATTCTCTCTCTCATTCTCTTCACTCTCTCATTCTCTCTCACTCTCTCTCATTCTCTCCTCTCTCATCTCTCTCTCTCTCTCTCTCTCATTCTCTCTCTCTCTCATTCTCTCTCTCTCATTCTCTCTTCTCTCTCTCTCTCTCTCTCTCTCTCATTCTCTCTCTCTCTCTCTCTCTCTCTCTCTCATTCTCTCTCTCTCTCATTCTCTCTCATTCTCTCTCTCTCTCTCTCTCTCTCTCTCTCTCTCTCTCTCCCCCTCTCTCTCTCCTACATAATCTAACTCGAGCCTCACTATCCTCAAAAACTCTCACCTGTTAACCTACCACCTATTCCATACACTTGCAGCATCTCCCACATTGCTCCCCTATCCACCCTATCATATGCCATTTCTAAATCCATAAATGCAATGAAAACTTCTTTACCCTTATTTAAATATTGTTCATCTATATGCTTCACTGTAAACACTTGGTCTACACACCCCCTACCCTTCCTAAAGCCTCCTTGTTCATCTGCAATGCTGCTCTCCATCTTACTCTTAATTCTTTCAATAATAACTCTACCATATGCCTTTCCAGGTACACTCAACAGACTTTTTTTTTTTAATATGTCAGCCGTTTCAAACCGAGGCAGGGTGACCCAAAAAGAAAGAAAAACCCAAAAAGGTAGAAAAAACTTTCATCACTCATACATAATCACTGTCTTTGCAGAGGTGCTCAGATATGACACTTTAGATGTCCCTTCAAACTGCCAATATCCTAAACCTCCCTTTAACAGTGCAGGCATTGTACTTCCCATTTTCAGGACTCAAGTCCAGCTAACCAGTTTCCCTGAATCCCTTCACAAAATATTACCGTACTCACACTCCAACAGCTTGTCAGGTCCCAAAAACCATTTGTCTCCGTTCACTCCTATCTAACATGCTCATGCACACTGGCTGAAAGTCCAAGCCCCTCGCCCACAAAACCTCCTTTACCCTCTCCCTCCAACCTTTTCAGGGATGACCCCTACCCTGCCTTCCTTCTCCAATAGATTTATATGCTCTCCAAGTCAGTTTACCTTGTTCCATTCTCTTTAAATGACCAAAACCACCTCAACAGTCCTTCTTCAGCCCTCTGACAAACTTTTAGTAACTCCACACCTTCTCCTAATTTCCACACTACGAATTCTCTGCATAATACTTACACCACACATTACCCATAGACACAACAGCTCCACTGCCTCCAGCCACCCCCTTGCTGCAGCATTTACAACCCAAGCTTCACACCCATGTAAGTGTGTTGGTACCACTATACTCTCGTACATTCCCTTCTCTGCCACCATGGATAATGTTCTTTGTCCCCATAGATACCTCAATGCACCACTCACTTTTTTTCCTTTGTCCATTCAATGGTTTACTTCGTCCATCATAAACCCACTGCTGACAAGTCAACTCCCAAATACCTGAAAATATTCACTTCTTTTGTACTCCCTCCCTCTAATGTAATATCCAGTGTTTCTTTATCTCAATTGTTTGATACCCTCATCACCTTACTCTTATCTATATTCACTTTCAACGTTCTACCTTTACACACTGTCCCAAACTCATCCACTAACCTTGGCAACTTTCCTTCAGAATCCTCCAAAAAGCACAGTATCATCAGCAAAATGTAACTGTCAACTCCCATTTTGTATCTGATTCCCCATAATTTAATCCCACCCCTCTCCTCAACACCTTAGCTTTTACTTCATTTACAACCCCATCTATAAAATGTTAAACAACCATGGTGACATTACATATCCCTGTCTAAGACCTACTTTTACTGGGAGGTAATCTCCCTTTCTCCTACACACCGTAACCTGAGCCTCATTATCCTCATAAAAACCCTTTACAGAATTTAATAACTTACTACCCATTTTTTTCAACTAGTCAGCCGTCTCCCATCGAGGCAGGGTGACCCAAAAAATAAAAAGAAAATCCCCAAAAAGAAAATACTTTCATCATCATTTAACACTTTCACCTCACTCACACATAATCACTTTTTTTGCAGAGGTGCCCATAATACAACAGTTTAGAAGTATATACATATAAAAATACACAATACAGTGGACCCCCGGTTAATGATATTTTTTCATTCCAGAAGTATGTTCAGGTGCCAGTACTGATCGAATTTGTTCCCGTAAGGAATATTGTGAAGTAGATTAGTCCATTTCAGACCCTCAAACATACACGTACAAACGCACTTACATAAATACGCTTACATAATTGGTCGCATTGGGAGGTGATCGTTATGCGGGGGTCCACTGTATATCCCTCCAAACTGCCAATATCCCAAACCCCTCCTGTAGAGTGCAGGCATTGTACTTCCCATTTCCAGGACTCAAGTCCGGTTATATAAAATAACTACCCATTCCATACACAATAAACATATGTAAATAAGCTAGAGGAAAGCCCAAAGGCGAACAACAAAATGGCTCAGAGCTAAAAAACGGAGTTACAAATATATGTTAAAGGAAAGAGGTAGTACTTGTAGTGTGATAGAAAAAATGGAATGTCTACAAGAGAAGAGAGTAAGTTGAAAAAATTAGTAATCACACAATCTGCCAGCAAAATTTATGAATTTTTTTCATGAAGAGAAAAAAACAAACCATTGTGAAGTTCTCCTGTAATGGTTCCTTCACTTGGAGGGTTGCCATCCTGGTCCCGCCACTTCCAGTCAAGACCACGTACCACACGTGCTCCAACTACCATGTGCTTTACCATCTGCCAGAAAAGGCAGCTCATAAGAATCAGTCATTATTAATAAAAATGTAAATTAGGCATTATCATTAAATTTTAAATACAATAATTTGTATGTTAACTAACATGGAATCTTATTAGCTAAACATATGAAGTATGTGGATGAAATGAAGAGCTAAACTGAAACCTTAGAAAAATAGTTTAAAATATCACTGTATAGAAAAATGAAGTGGTAATGCAAAGAGAAGGAAGGAACTCAAATGGATGAAAAAGAATCTTTACACAGGATTCAATAAATCATTAAGAATGCAACTCAAGTTTGGCCTTACATTTTTTATCACTAACCACAGAAAACAAACCCAGCCTTCACCTCTTCCCACCCCCTCTCCCTGCCAACAGAATGTGAAGCCAGGTAACAACCAGTGTAAAAACAGCTGACATGGAGATGGTGGTGGTCTACACTGTCAGTCCAAACACATAAATGCCTTCCCTATCTTTCAGAACTATGTACTGTATTCTAAATTTAGGTTGTGACAATCACTAAAATTTCTACCATCAGGACCTTAAATCATGGTAAAGGCCACTGTTAAACAGAGATGGGGAATCCAAGTACCAAGGCACATAAATTAATAACTTGTACAGTATACTGTTTCCATTCATGTGCAAGAAGATTCTATGTAGAATGAAATGTACAACTCGGGTAAACTTTCGATAAAATACCTCACCTGTGACTTGACAAGTCTTCTTTGTCTCCTCAGGTTAGCTTCTGCTTCTTTAGCTGCCCTTCCCAGATCTTCACAAACCCCAGTCACTGTGCCATATAGCTCCAACCCAGAGAGAGAGAGATAATGGGTCTGACCAGATGCATTCTTTCCTGTCTGTTGAATGCGAACATGTCTCCAGCCAGTCTGTAAAGAAGATCAACTGAAGCTGCATTTAACATTTAGAAAAGCAAAATATAAAAAAGGAGATACTTGTGGAAACATTAAACTGAGGCAGCAGTAGTGCTCAAAAAAAAAGGAACGCTTTCACCATCACTTACACTAATCACAGAATGGGTGGAGTTTGAACCCATGGCAGCTGAGTCCTAAAACTCACAGGCCAGTGCACTAACCACTCAGCAGTTTCACAGGAACTTGAGCTAGAGCATACCACAGCCATGCTGGTGTGGGATTCATCTGTAAAAACCTGCATTTGTGGTCACAGTGTCGGCCCATGCTAACATCCCTATGGTATACAGACATATACCTAGTAGAATTAATCTTATCAGAGGTAGCTGGCCAAGTGGTTAACACACTGGACTGTGAGTTTTAGGACTCGCCTGCCATGGGCTCTAGTCCCACTTGTTCTGTGATTTGTTTGCAACTGTGTTGTTATGATTCCGTGAGTCGCTCACTCTAATCGTTGTATTGTCAGAGGAATGCCAATACGCCAGTTCAGATACCTTTTCAAACTGCTAATAACTTTACACCTCCTTCAGAGTGCATGCACTGTAATTTCCACCTCCAGGACTCAAGTCTGGCTAACCGGTTTCCTTGAATCCCATCATAAATCAAAACTACAAATTCTCTGCATAATATTTACATCACATACTGCCCTCACGCAGCCTCCTCCTCACTAAAACATTCATAAACCATGCTTCACACCCATACAATAGTGTTGGTACTACTATACTCTCATACATTCGTCTTTTTATTTCTATGGAAAATGTTCTCTGTTTTCACAGATGCCTCAATGCACCACACACCATTTTTTCCTCAGTATTCTTTCAGGTTATGTAAATGATATTCTAGATGAGACTGAGTCAGATGTATTCCTGATTGCTGAAGGCATAAAACCAATGAGAAGAATAAAAACAGAAGAGGACAGGGAAAAGGCTGCAAATGAACCTGGACAAAGTGCAAGATTGGTCAGATAAGTGGATACTTGAATTCAGCCTAAGCAAATGTAAAGTTATAAAGATTGGGGATGGGGACAGAAGATCAGACATGGTGTACAAACTAGGGGACAAAGAGGTGCAACTTGCCAATAGGTAATCAGACCACAATTTCTTTTTTTATTACACAAGGATTTTATTCCACATGAAACAATAAAATAATAAAATACTGATTACTACATACTTTTTCTTCTGAAGGAGGCTGTATACTCCAGGTATGAGTGCTGCCAGGTTCATTTAAGGAGCAATCATCAACATGAGTGCATAGAGTTGTCCAAGTCATACCATCCTTCGAAACCTAAAGAAAATATATGAATATTATATATATTGTGTATCAGAAATACATACTGCATTATTTGTTTCTAACAATCAAACATTTTTAGTAAGTTCATAGTAAAATTGAATTTTTTTTATAAGAATGCAAATTAAATGCAGAAACAACTTGAGCCCAGTGATTCCTTGCTTAAATTTTGAACATAAAAAAACTAGGCCCATTTCTCTGCTTTACAACCAGCTCCTATTTGTTCAACGACTAAATTCCAGGTAACAAAAACTTCCTTGAACAATGCCCAGATAATGTTTATAAATGCAATGAGCAAACAGAAAATGGGCACCCACTGTGTACAGCTTTTGTCAAACAGTCATTATTCAAAACTCTGTCAACAGCTACTCATTTGATTATTTTTGCAACAGTACCATGATATCTGTGGTTATGGGGGCAGGCTGAAAAACTTCACTATTATGCTCAACAACTTGCTCTCATAACACATTACTTTGTCTTCATCTACACATACTTCACTCACAGAATCTGTGCCTGGGGATCTACTTCAAATATACACCTCAACAAAAGGCAGCTCTCAGAACAATCACAAACTCTACCAATAAGCTACACACTGTACTTTTGTTCAAATCACTAAACCTACTAAATGAATATGAAATTTATATTTACTACTATTCAATCCACATATTCAAAACATTGCACTGTATTGCTGATGCTGAATTAAAACAATTCTTATAAAACCGTAACAGAACACACATGCACCACACTAGAAACAAATACCTCTGATATCCCTCGTGTTTGACTAAACATCTATAGAAATTCTATACAAATTAAAGGACCAAAGATGTGGAATAACAAACTGAAAAACTGTAATGATTTTACTATATTCAAAACTAAACTAAAAAAGGCACTGTATACCTACACACTGAAGTCAAATAATTTATCCCATTTCTATAGGTAATTACTATTTACTGTTTTTGGTTTCTCCATAAGAGCACTGATTCCACAATATACTGTACTGAGCTTTGTTACTTGGAATAATCACTGCATCTAGAATCTGAATTACTTTGACTGGTTTCTATTGTTGTAAAAAAATATATCTGAGAAAAGCAAAAAAAGGCACAATACTGTGACTGGAACAGTACACAAATAACCTGCACACAGGAGAGAGGAGCTTACGACGGTGTTTCAGTCCGACTTGAACCATTTACAAAATCACACTAACACAAAGGAGAGGAGGAGGGAGTATTTATAGGCCAGCAGACAGGGATGGGACAAGAGAGGTAGTAAGAAAAGAGGGAGAGGGGTAGGGGTAGAGGTAGCAGCAGTAGTAGTGGAGTCAGTCGAATACTAAGAAAGAAGAGCACTGCAAGGGAGTTAGGGGCCCACAGAGGGTAGGAACAAGAACACAGAGAGGGGAAATAATAATTTTTTTTTTTTCAACAAGTCAGCCGTCTCCCACCGAGGCAGGGTGACCCAAATAAAAAAAGAAAATGACCAAAAAGAAAATACCTTCATCATCATTCAACACTTTTCACCACACTCACACATTATCACTGTTTTTGCAGAGGTGCTCAGAATACAACAGTTTAGAAGCATATACATATAAAGATACACAACATATCCCTCCAAACTGCCAATATCCCAAACCCCTCCTTTAAAGTGTAGGCATTGTACTTCCAATTTCCAGGACTCAAGTCAGACTATATGAAAATAACCGGTTTCCCTGAATCCCGTCACTAAATATTACCCTGCTCACACTCCAACAGATCGTCAGGTCCCAAGTACCATTTGTTTCCATTCACTCCTATCTAACACGCTCACGCACGCTTGCTGGAAGTCCAAGCCCCTCGCCCACAAAACCTCCTTTACCCCCTCTCTCCAACCCTTTTGAGGACGACCCCTACCCCGCCTTCCTTCCCCTATAGATTTATATGCTTTCCATGTCATTCTACTTTGATCCATTCTCTCTAAATGACCAAACCACCTCAACAACCCCTCTTCTGCCCTCTGAATAATACTTTTAATAACTCCACACCTTTTCCTAATTTCCACACTCTGAATTTTCTGCATAATATTTACACCACACATTGCCCTTAGACAGGACAAATCCACTGCCTCCAACCGTCTCCTCACTGCTGCATTTACCACCCAAGCTTCACATCCATATAAAAGTGTTGGTACTATACTTTCATACATTCCCTTCTTTGCCTCCATAGATAACGTTTTTTGACTCCACATATACCTCAACGCACAACTCACCTTTTTTCCCCTCATCAAATCTATGATTAACCTCACCCTTCATAAATCCATCCGCCGACACATAAACTCCCAAGTATCTGAAAACATTCACTTCTTCCATACTCCTCCTCCCCAATTTGATATCCAATTTTTTTTTTATCTAAATCATGATACCCTCATCACCTTATTTTTTTCTATGTTCACTTTCAACTTTCTACCTTTACACACATTCCCAAACTCATCAACTAATCTTCGCAATTTTTCTTTAGAATCTCCCATAAGCATAGTATCATCAGCAAAAAGTAACTGTCAATTCCCATTTTGAATTTGATTCCCCATAATTTAATCCCACCCCTCTCCCTAACACCCTAGCATTTACTTCTTTTACAACCCCATCTATAAATATATTAAACAACCATGGTGACATTACACATCCCTGTCTAAGACCTACTTTTACGGGAAGTAGTCTCCCTCTCTTCTACACACCCTAACCTGAGCCTCACTATCCTATAAAAACTCTTTACAGCATTTAGTAACTTACCACCTATTCCATATACTTGCAACATCTGCACATTGCTCCTCTATCCACTCTATCATATGCCTTTTCTAAATCCATAAATGCAATAAAGACTTCCCTACCTTTATCTAAATACTGTTCACATATATGCTTCATAATGTAAACACTTGATCTACACATCCCCTACCCACTCTGAAGCCTCCCTGCTCATCCGCATCCTACATTCTGTCTTTACCTCTATTCTTTACAATTATAACCCTACCGTACACTTTTCCTGGTATACTCAGTAAACTTATTTCCTCTATAATTTTTACAATCTTTTGTCCCCTTTCCCTTCATATAATGGACTATATTGCTCTCTCCAATCCCTAGTACCTTCCCCTCTTTCATAAAATTTATTAAACAAAAAGTTACCAACCACTCAACACTTATCCCCCTTTGCTTTTAACATTCTTTCATATCCCATCAGTTCCAGCTGCTTTACCCCCTTTCATTCTACGTAATGCCTCGTGTACCTCCCCCACACTTACATTCTGCTCTTCTTCATTCCTAAAAGATGTTATACCTCCCTGGCCAATGCATGAAATTACCGCCTCCCTTTTTTCCTCAACATTTAAAAGTTCCTCAAAATATTCTCGCCATCTACCTAATACCTCCCTCTCCCATCTACTAACTCCCTACTCTGTTTTTAACTGACAAATCCGTACTTTCCCTAGGCTTTCTTAACTTGTTTAACTCACTCCAAAATTTTTTCATATTTTCATTAAAATTTCTTGACAGTGCCTCTCCCACTCTATCATCTGCTCTCCTTTTGCACTCTCTTCACCTTTCTTTTACTCTCCATATACTCTGCTCTTCTTATAACACTTCTGCTTTGTAAAAACCTCTCATAAGCTACCTTTTTCTCTTTTATCACACCCTTTACTTTATCATTCCACCAATCACTCCTCTTTCCTCCTGCCCCCACCCTCCTATAACCACAAACTTCTGCCTCACATTCTAATACTGCATTTTTAAGACTGTTCGAACCCTCTTCAACCCTCCCACTACTCATCTTTGCACTAGCCCACCTTTCTGCCAATAGTCGCTTATATCTCACCCGAACTTCCTCCTCCTTTAGTTTATACACTTTCACCTCCCTCTTACTTGTTGTTGCCGCCTTCCTCTTTTCCCATCTACCTCTTACTCTTACCGTAGCTACAACTAAATAATGATCCGATATATCAGTTGCCCCTCTATAAACATGTACATCATGGAGCCTACCCATCAACCTTTTATCCACCAATACATAATCTAACAAACTACTTTCATTACGTGCTACATCATACCCTGTATATTTATTTATCCTCTTTTTCATAAAATATGTATTACTTATTACCAAATCTCTTTCTACACATAGCTCAATTAAAGGCTCCCCATTTACATTTACCCCTGGCACCCCAAATTTACCTACTACTCCCTCCATAACATTTTTACCACTTTAGCATTGAAATACTGGACCAAATACCAAGGCAGAAGAAAGAAAACCCAAAGGAGAAAGGAGAAAAAGGAAAGAGGAAAGGGTAAAAAATAAAGGGAGAAGGGGAAAAAAGAATCAGGTTCAGTCATGGGTGTTTTGAAATTTGCAACAATTTACAATGCATTTGTGATCCTCAGTTCCTTTAATCAGAAATTTCCACTCTTCATAATTCATTTTCCCATCTTGGCTACCTTTCCAATTTCATAGACCCTGCCTTCTCACATGCTAAACAGACTTTCTTCTCTCCCAAACTCTCTACTCCTGTCCTCTGCCTTCTCTACATTTCCGGTCTTTCTAATCTTAACTCTCTCCGTTCCTTAGATGTCAAACTTACTTTTCGCCAGAATAACACTCTTTGCACTAATCTAGTTCATACCTCTCCTCCCTCTATAGATGCTCCTGGTGTCTACTCTATTTCTTGTTCCTCCTGTCCTCTTTGGAGAAACTGGCAGTTCTCTTTCTGACAGACTTAAGAGAGCATAAAAGTAGTGTTAGGTTTGCCGACACCAACAATGCTCTTTTCTGTCATGTCAGAGATCACAGTTATCCTATTGACTGGTCTTCTGCTAAACTGTCTACCCTACTTCTAACTTTCACAGTTGCTATCTGGTTGAATCCTCCTTTATACACAACTTTCCTTGTATGAATCTTAGTTGTGGATTTGTCTCTGTAGATGCCTTCCTTTCCTATTACATTGTAAAATGCTCCAAACTTCAGAACACCCATGACTTAAGCTGAATCTTTTTTTCCCCTTTCCCTTTTTTCCCTTTCCTCTTTCTCCTTTGGGTTTTCTTTCTTCTGCCTTGGGTATTCAATCCAGTATTATTATTTCCCCTCTCTGTGTTCCTACCCTCTTGTTCCTACCCTCTGTGTGCCCCTAGCTCCCATGCAGTGCTCCTCTTCCTTATTATTCAACTGACTCCACTACTACTACTGTTACCTCTACCCCTACCTCTCTCCCTCCTTTCCTACTACCTCTCTTGTCCCGTCCCTGTCTGCTGGCCTATATATACTCCCTCCTCCTCTCCTTTGTGTTTGTGTGACTTTGTAAATGGTCCAAGTTGGACCAAAACATCGTCGTCAGCTCCTCTCTCCTATGTGCGGGTTATCTGTGTATATATATCTGAGAACTTGCATGAATAACCTTTAAACCAACTAATTATTCTTAATTTCATGTACCATACCTGGTATCTATTTACAGTACTTATACATTTGTGTCATTCACAGAATTATTATTATTCAGTATATATCTTTAATTTCTTTATATACTTATGGATAACTAAAGTGTAATGAACACTGGTCACTGCTCAAAAATAACCCACATGGAGACAGATACCCAGAAGATTAGTTCATCTGTATAATTTCAATCCCCATTTGGGATCCTCTTCAGCAGATGATATATATGTACACATACTGTCCTTTTAGTCCTAATCTTAAGTTGTCCAAAATGTTCTGCATAATATGAAATATGATCCATTTTTTGTGCAAACCACGTATCATATGAAAATAAAGAATTTAAATATAAATTGTTTAGTAGACGCATAGTGTTAAATCTCCATTTTATGATTTTCTTTTTTTTCAACGTCGGCCGTCTCCCACCGAGGCAGGGTGACCTAAAAAGAAAGAAAATCCCCAAAAAGAAAATACTTTCATCATCATTCAACGCTTTCACCTCACTCCCACATAATCACTGTTTTTGCAGAGGTGCTCAGAACACAACAGTTTAGAAGCATATACATATAAAGATACACAACATATCCCTCCAAACTGCTAATATCCCAAAACCCCTCCTTTAGAGTGCAGGCATTGTACTTCCCATTTCCAGGACTCAAGTCCAGCTATATAAAAATAACCGGTTTCCCTGAATCCCTTCACTAAATATTTACGAGTACATAACATAAAATGTGGCAATACAGCAGATGTTGCAAGTGTATGGAATAGGTAGTAAGTTATTAAATGATGTAAAGAGTTTTTATGAGGATAGTGAGGCTCAGGTTAGGGTGTGTAGGAGAGAGGAAGATTACTTCCCAGTAAAAGTAGGTCTTAGACAAGGATGTATAGTGTCACCATGGTTATAGATAGAGTTGTAAAAGAAGTAAATGCTAGGGTGTTGGGGAGAGGGGTGGGATTAAATGATGGGGAATCAAATACAAAATAGGAGTTGACACAGTTACTTTTTGCTGATGATACTGTGCTTTTAGGGGATTCTAAAGAAAAGTTGCAAAGGTTAGTGAACGAGTTTGGGAGCATGTGTAAAGGTAGAAAGGTGAAAGTGTACATAGATAAGAGTAAGGTGACGAGGGTATCAAACAATTTAGATAAAGAAAAATTGGACATCACGTTGAAGGGAGGGAGTATGGAAGAAGTGAATGTTTTCAGATAATTGAGAGCTGACCTGTCTGTGGATGGGTTTATGAAGAATGAGGTTAACCATAGAACTGATGAAGGAAAAAAGGCGAGTGGTGCATTGAGATATCTGTGGGGACAAAGAATGTTATCCATGCAGGAAAAGATGGGTATGTAAGAGAGTATAGTGGTACCAACACTCTTATATGGTTTGAAACACAAGTTGTCAATAAACCATACCACGGGTGGGGTTTGAACCCACAGTCAGAGAGTCTCAAAACTCCAGACCGTTGCGTTAGCCACTGGGCCAGCTAGCTGGCCCAGTAGCTAACGCCACAGTCTGGAGTTTTGAGACTCTCTGACCATGGGTTCAAACCCCACCCGTGGTATGGTTTGTGTGCAATCGTGTCAACACGATTTTGTGAGTTAAGTTGTAAATGCTGCAGCAATGAGGCGGCTGGAGGCAGTGGAGATGTGTCTATGGGCAATGTGTGGTGCAAATATTATGCAGAGAATTCATAGTGTGGAAATTAGGAGGTGTGGAGTTACTAAAAGTATTAGTCAGAAAGATGAAGAGGGGCTGTTGAGGTGGTTTGGTCATTTAGAGAGAACGGAACAAAGTAGAATGATACACAAATAACCCGCACATAAAAGAGAGAAGCTTACGACGACGTTTCGGTCCGACTTGGACCATTGACAAAGTCTTTGTCAATGGTCCAAGTCAGACCGAAACGTCGTCGTAAGCTTCTCTCTTTTATGTGCGGGTTATTTGTGTATTGTTCCAGTCACGGTATTGTGCCTTTTTGTTAGTTATTCAAAGTAGAATGACTTGGAGAGAGTGTGTAAATCTGTAGGGGAAGGAAGATGGGGTAGGGGTCATCCCTGAAAAAGTTGGAGGGAGGGAGTAAAGGAGGTTTAGTGAGCAAGGGGCTTGGACTTCTGGCAGGCGTGCATGAGAGTGTTAGATAGGAGTGAATAAAGATGAATGGTTTTTGGGACCTGATGAGTTTTTGGAGTGTGAGTAGGGTAATAATTTGTGAAGGGATTCAGAGAAACCGGTTTGCCGGACTTGAGTCCTGGAAATAGGAAGTACAATGCCTGCACTTTAAATAAGGGGTTTGGGATACTGGCAGTTTGGAGAGACATCTAAGCCCTCATAACTGAGAGCCTCTGCAAAGACGGTGATTATGTATGAGTGATGGTGAAAGTGTTGAATGATTAAAGTTTTTTTTTTTTTTTGGGGGGGGGGTCACACTGCCTTGGTGGTAAACGGCTGAGATGCTTAAAAAAAAAAAAAAAAAAAAAAAAAAAAAAAAAAAAAAAAAAAAAAAAAAAAAAAAAAAAAAAATAAAAAATAAAAAAAACAACAAAACTTCATGGGAAATTGGAACAGAATTCTTCCTCTGAAAGCCATGCGTGTTGTAAGAGGCAACTAAAATGTCAGGAGCAAGGGGCTAGTAGCCCCTTCTCCTGTATATATTACTAAATTTAAAAAGAAAAACTGTTTTTTTTTCCTTTTTAAGTCACCTTGCCTCACTGGGATATGGCCGGTTTGTTGAATAAAAAAAAAAAAACTTAAAAAAATACAAAATACTGCCAACCTATCAAAAGAAGCATTACAATGTGTTCTTATAACTGCTTAGATTAAGGGTTCTGCCAACTATTGTTGGAGTGAATATTTTGATACTTTTTCATAGTTTTTCTTGCCTCGTAGTTTTTTCAATGCCTCTACTAAACAAAGAAGTCATCTGTAGTGAAGGGAGGGAGGTAGCACATACAGTGTATTAATATATTGTTCCTCTTTCACACACGTTCAGACCCTTTATACTTCTTCATACTTGTTTTGTGTTAAGTGCTCATAAAATGGGGTAAAAACACTTTGCTACTATTAAACAATGGACCCCATCTCTGGTGAGTAAATATTTGTTTTAAATTTCATCATTACTTTAATAGGAATTAGATATAGAACCTTTATGTCCTGGTCTCCATCTTGAGTTAAAATATGGACTATGAGAAAATATGATTCATATAACATATTTTTTGTACACTGAACCATTCTAGTGGGCCCCCCTGTATTTTAATTCTACTCAACAAAATAAAATACATTTCCTCAGAAACTAAAAACAATGCCTTTAATCTGAGTTCTAGGATGAAAATACCTATCACAATATAAGTAGCAATTATATCCAATTAATAGATTGAAAATAAAGATGTGCTGTTGAAGTGTGAGCAAGGTAACATTTGTGGATTCAGGGAAACCGGCAGGCCAGACTCGAGTCCTGGAGATGGGAAGTACATTGCCTGCACTCTGAAGGAGGTGTTTTAATGATGCAGTTTTGTAACTGTAGTGTAAGCATGCCTCTGGCAAGACAGTGATGGAGTGAATGATGAAAGTTTTTCTTTTATGGACCACCCTGCCTTGGTGGGAGATGGCTGATGTGTTAATAATAAAAATATAATATAAAATATAAATATAATATAAAATACAATAAAAAAAATAAAATGCGTAAAAACAAATAATGATTTACAAATAGAGTAATGGTAAGTGATGCAATGCATTCTCACCTGGAACATCCAATTTCTAAGTGCAGATCTGCCATATCCTCGTGCATGTCTCAATGTGTATGCTGATGGTACAAACCAAATGCCAAGATCAATGGCAAACCATGCTCGTTTGTCATCATTTGTGTGACAGTTTAGAGCAGATGCATCACGGCTTAAAATATCTTCTAGTCGACCATAAGGAAGGTTTCGACCCTCACTAGATGTAACTACAACAAGTCCAACAGAAGCTGGATTCACCCATTCATAAGCAGTCCTAAAAAATAAGAGAAAATCAAATTTACATCTACAACCTTATTAGCCCTTTGAGGGTCCAAGAATTTAAAAAAAAAAAAAAAAAAAAAATTATTTTTTATTATGAAATAAAGAATCTTTTTCTGAAAGTAATAAAACAGAAATATGAAATTTGATAGAAAACTGACAAAATTACATATCGCGAATTTACTGCATCAGGATTTTACGCAGGCAATTTTTCCTCTTTGGACTCCTATTTTAGGCCAATTCCAGTCGCCAAATTTAAACCCTTCAGGGCCCGTCCCGTAGATCTACGTTTTTCCGGTGAGTGCCAAACCAAGATCTACCCAAAATTCAGCGCCATAATTTGCGCGAAAGCGCACATGGGCCCTACATGTTGAAGAATGGTCTGCCCGGGGGTGTGCCCGTAAAAAAAATCTAGGCGCTGCATGCTTGTGGACCCCGGCATGTCCTTGTTCTAATGCCTTCGAAAGTAGCTCTCACTCCCGAAAATTGGGACTCTCCTTTTCCGTCGGGATAGTCTGACACTGATGGAAGTGGAAATAAGACGAATTCTACGGCTTTGATAAGTTAGTGACGAAAATAATGACCAGGATATCGATAATAGTGCAAAAACCCCGACGATCCTCGCCTTCTACCTCTGGTGTGGGCACCGGATTTACGGTGGGGTTTGTTCTAAAGTAAGAGAAACAAATTTCGCGTGGCCGGGCCCTGCTTTAGTAATGACGATGATCTGACGGGATTGTGATTTTTTTGCGCTCGACGATCTTTCGGTAGTGATAGTGAGGATCATTTTTCCCGTGAAGCATCGGGTAGTGTCCCTATGCTGTCCCCAGGGGACGGAGTTACATCCCGGAGTACATCCCGGGGCCCCTTTCACCCTTTTTAGGTATGATAGTGAGGATGATGTTGGCTACATTGGCATGGATGAGCCACAGGCATCAGTGGATGGTGTTAGGGGTGCTGGTGGGGTAGTGGAAACCGCCATGCGTGACTCACCGTGCCTGCGGGGGACCCATGCTGCTTACTCGTCGTTCAAGGACAAAGCGGAGCGTCAGCCACCACCCCGCCACAACCACAACCACCCGTACAACCAGCCTATGATGTCCAGTATCCACCAGAAAACCATATTGGGATTGGCAGCAAAATCCCAATTTTGTTCCCAAGCCTCACCACTTTGATGACCCCAAAGTGGAATTCTACCTACCTGTCCCCTTGGAACCACGGCCAATGAACTGAATTCTTTGAATTATTCTTTGACACCCAAATTGATGGAAATTATTGCCAGGGAAAGTAATAAGTATTTTAGTACACCATGGCAAATACGTTTCTTATCACCAACAGTCAAGACTCCCACAGGTGGAAAGAGAGACTGTTGCAGAAATGTATTTGCTTTTTTGCAACAATATGGCTTATGCCTCACATCTATAAGCATAATATAAAAGCATACTGGTCCACAGATGGCTAATTTCTACCCCGGGTCTTCAGTGAAATAATCCAGTGAACAGGTTTATCTTACTGTTACGTATGTTGCACTTCTCTGACAAAACCAGGCCTGACAGAAGTGACAGGTTATACAAGATTAGAAATTTTTTCATGTATCTCAAACAAAAGTTCAGGATATACTTTTATCCATTCAAGAATCTTGTAATTGACGGTCTTTGATTTTGTTCAAAGGTAGTGTCATTCAAGCATATATACCGAGCAAGAGGAACCCTTTTGGTATAAAACTTTTGTACTCTGTGATTGTGACAGTGGCCTGGTGTTGGATATTGTTGTATACACGGGTAGAAAAAACAAAAGATACCAAGATGTTATTGGGTATCTCAGGTGACGTAGTGGAAAATGATGGCACCTTATCTGGTAAGGGGCATACATTATATACCGATAACTGGTACACAAGCCCATTACCAGTGATTTCTGCATGAACAAGACAGATGGTGTGGCACAGTGTGTTCTAATCGTAAACATATGCCCAGGCTAAAACGCAGGTGTTCGTGGTAAAGACGTGCAGGTGTTTACTGCCAATGACATCATGGCATTACGGTGGCATGACAAACGAGATGTCACATTGTTGACAACCACTCACCTAATGAAATGCAAGACAGTGGCAAAGTTGATCGAGTGACTAATGAACGTATTCGAAAACCAGTGTCAGTGATTGATTATACACAAAAAAATGCCTTGGTTGACAAGTGTGACATGCAGATTGGTTTTGTTGACTGTGTTCGTAAGAGTTACAAGTGGTACATGAAACTTTTCTTCCATCTCATGGACATTTCATGCTCAATGCATAAAATATGTACCAAATAAAGACTGGTAACAGACCCCCGTATGGTGAATTTTGTTTGTCTGTTGTTTAGACAACTCATAATGAAGTACCAGGTAACAACACCTGCAATACAACATGGTCCTCAAAATTTCCCCAGGATATACCCAACGTTTGAGGAAGAAAGGGGATCATTTCATAATACAGCTTCCTTCAAAATCAAAAGAAATTTGCTCAGAAAGGGTGCATTGTCTGTGCACAAACAAACGACGGCAACAAAGACGCAAAGACACTCGGTTTATGTGTGAGGAATGTAAGGTGCCTCTGTGCATGGTGCCTTGTTTCAAGGAGTTCCACAAGCTCCAGGGAGTTCTAAAACCCTGTCCAGGATTGTAAATATGTAAATATATGATAGAACATTAGTATTATACAATATTTGTGCCCTGTTTATTGTAATAAAAAAAAATGGTAAACAAAAATATGATAATAACTTTTGTGCGGTTATTGTGTTCAATACAGGGGATTTATATATATCAATTATATACAGTATTGGTCTCTCAGGCCCCAAATGTTAGTAGGAAAAGAAAAAAATTGGAAAAGAAAGAAAAAAACAACTAAAACAACAAAATAATATAATAGCGTATGTGGAATTCGTCGATGTTGCCACCACCACATCATTTTCTATAAACTTCTTGGCACTGTATCTCGGTAAGTACTGATCAGATTCTTATTTTTTTTGTTTTATTACCTTCACAAAAATATGCTCTTTAATTCTGTAAGAAAAAATTATTTTTTTTTTTTTCAAAATTTCTTGGACACTGGTGCGTGACTTCAGATTTTGGCCTTGGACCCTGAAAGGGTTAAGCTATTTTGCTAGTATTGTATTTTATCAACTGAGCACAAGAAACTGCCCAAAAAACTATTTCAACTACCCAATAAAGTTATCAGAAATTGATAAATTGACCAATTTAACACAAAGTTCAAAATATTCCAATTTTAAAATAGGGCCCAGAATAAATAATGCATGCATTCCTGGCACTAAAATAACATTTCTTCTGTTTACTAGTTAAATTTCCAGGTTTTACAGGTAATTCCATTTTCATTTTTTATTTACCTAAAGAATTTTTATTCGCACCAAAAAAATATAAGATTTACTGTTATGCAATATTGTAATAATTGCATAAATAATATCAGCGTATTCATGAACATATATCAGACCCACCAGTTAACATGTATTGGACATATGATGTCATTTGTTTACTCAAACATCGGCAAAAATAAAATATTTCCGCTACTTTGGGCTCAATTTCAAGCCATTTTCAGTGCTAAAACCAATCAAAATAATGTCTATTTCTATAATATATCTGCCACTATCAAATGAGACCCAGAAACAGCAAATACAACCACAAAAACCATACGAAAATACACTGCGAAGTCAGTTTAAATCCAAAAACATGGTTGCATTTTTTCTCATTATGCATTTGTGTTGCAGGACTAGTTTTATATGGTGCACACTTACCACATAGATGCATTCTCTCATATCTAGGCCCAAATTTACCACTCACAGCTTATCTGAATGAAGTGACCTTGTGATGTAGAACAACAGCATGGACCCTAAAAGGGTTAAAAAAAAAAAAAAACTGATTTCCCATGCAAAACATTAAAAAATTTAAGTGAGTAATAATTAGATAAAGATGAAAAGTTTCCTGCATAAAAAAAGACACCAAAACTTGATCTCTGGAGGTGGGAAAGAAGGTGCAACTTGGTAGAGAAAAGCAATATGGCAGGTGTTGCAAATGTATGTAACATAGGGCTATTGTTAGTTACAAGCAGTAAAGTGTAACTAGTGTTATGAAGAGAGCATGTCTCAAGTTATAGTATATAAAGAGGATAATTTTTATTAAAAGTGGGCCTTAAACAGAGATGTTGACCTTACTTAGCATTTGTTCCAATCCAATAGATAATTCCATTTTCATCAAATTCTCTGCTGTTCTTGAAGACAATCTTCTGTCCTTCCTTCAGTTTGCGAACGAAGGCAAAAGATGTGCGGTCAAAGTCATACCACTGCTTGGCTACCATCTTCAGCAAGTACCTCTCAAGCTGTTCAACAGTCGCCAGGGGTTCCATCTATAAAAATATCAATATAATAAGAATCAAAATTAAAAAAAAAAAAAAAAAAAAAAAAAGATGCAAGGAATAATTATGATTTACAGAAAACATAATAATCTTAAATTTTCCATCATTTGTCATCTTTCCAATGTTTTGCTTCTTTACTACTTCATCAATGTCAATCTTTTAATCATGATAAGGAAAACTTGAATGTGTTAGTTTATTTAGGTTATGGTTAATAACTAGTAATTTTTTAAAATATCCAGAAATAATTGAGGAATGACATCATAATCACTTTATGAATTTAACCCTTTCAGGGTCGAGAGGCCCTCTCCTAAACTTGTTCTCAGGGTCAAAAAGTTTTTCGGAAAAAAAAAAAAAAAAAAAAATCTTATGGAAATGATAGAGAATCTTTTCCCAATCATAATGACACCAAAAGTATGAAATGTGATGGAAAACTTACGGAATTATGCTCTCGCGAAGTTAGCGGTCTCGACGATGTTTACGCATTGGCGATTCCGCCCACTTTGAGCCCTATTTTTGGCCAATTCCTGTGTGCTAGTCGACAAAAATCATTTTTATTTCACTAGAACTCCATTTTTTCTATCGAATGAGTACAAGAAATCACCCATTCACCAATTTCAACTATCCAATAAAGTGGTTAGAAATTGGCAATTTTGCCAATTTCACTCAAATTTCAGAAGATGCCAATATCCAAATAGGGTCCAAAATAAACAAGAAAGACATTCCTGGCACTAAAATAACAAGTTCTCTGTTCGTTAGTCACGTCCCCAGGCCCCTCTTATATTTCTTTTGCTTTCTACTTTGAATTTTTATTATTGCAAAAAATACAAGATTTACTGTTATGCAGACTACTGCATTAGTGTAGAAATGGTATAAATAATATCAGCGCACTTGTAAAAGAATATTAAACTCACCAGTTGACATGTATTGGATGCTTGGCATGATTTGTTTACTTTTGAACTTTGGCAAAAATCGAACATTTCTGCTACTTTGAGCTCAATTTCAAGGTACTTTTCATTGTGAAACCAGTCAAAATCATCTCAATTTCTGTAATATGTTTTCCATTCTATAAAATGAGACCAGGAAAACTAGAATACAACAATAAATACCATACGAAAATACAGTGCAAAGTCGCTGTTTTAATCCAAAAACACGGTCAAAGTTTTTCTTTTTTCTCATTACGCACTGTGTGCTGCTGGATTTTTTTTTATACTGCGCACACTGACCACACAGACCCATTCTTTCATATGTAGGCCTACCAGCTTTCTCTTGCTAGATTTGAAGGCGCTAGAATTTAGGCGCACTAGTACGTCAATAACCCTGGTGCGTAAGCCGTACTAGTACGTTGAAAACCCTGAAAGGTTTAAGGAAATATTCCCAGATGCATTTATTAAATTTCTCTAATCCAATCTGATACAGACAAATAATAATATATTAGAATACAAAAAAATCTCATATAAAATATAAAATCTTACTTTAAGTGTTCTTCCATTTCTGTCAATTAGAGAGCTTTCACCTGCTGCTCTTTCCAGTCTAAATCGAAGACGTCGACTCAAAACTTGAAGACCTGATCCTGCTCCAGGAACATCATAAATATATAGAGGAAGCTTCTCTGCACTCTCCAGCACAGATACTAATTTTCTAACTAGCTGGGTACCAGGACTGACTGATGAGCTGATCGTAGCACTTTCTTCATCTACTTTATCCTGTCGAATAAAAATTATTCAGGTAAATTTTCTTCCTTCTGAATTTACTATCTTTCGTAATCCAGTCATAAAATAACTATGTTCAACATATTTAAAAATAAATAACATGCTTCAACTATGGCAACAAAATACAACATTAGTCTGAAATCACCTTGAGGAATGAAGTCAGATATACTTAAATACACATCAATATTGAGTACATACCATAAAGCAACTTTTGAAAACATTTCTTCTTTGTTTTATCATTTTGTTAACCCGTCTTTGAGAAAACTGTCTATTATCATCTGGGAGATGTTGTGTAGTGTCTGGACTAAGAAGTGTAAGAAGAGCTTGTACTAGGCCTGAAGAATGGAGTTCATATGCAGATACTGTGCTTTCATCACGCAAGAGGGCTACTAGGTCTTCAACAGTGGCCCTCAAAATTTCAGGCCATTCTCCACCGCCTTTATTGCTCACCTGAAATAAATAAATTGATAAATACATGTGATACGCTAAGTAGTAAGCTGGAAGACAACAACTGCCCAAGGAGGTACTATCATCCTGCCAAGTAAGTGTGAAATGGAAGCCTGTAATTGTTTTACATGATGGTAAGATTGCTAGTGTCTTTTTTCTGTTTCATAAACATGCAAGATTTCAAGTACGTCTTGCTACTTCTACTTACACTTAGGTTACACTGCACATGCATAGACGAACAAATACAGCCTCTCCTCACTTAGTGACATACTTGTTTACTGACGCCTCGGTCTTACGATGGCCTCTCTGACCAGTATTTGTACCTAAATAATGTATATTAGAGCTGATTTCCTCTATTCTGTTCATTTCAGTATACAGTACAATACTGTATGAACATCTAAAAATATACCAGAAATGTTATAAATGGTGCAAAGGTGACATTAAAACAATATCAAAGATGGCTGACACAAACTTGCTACCATTATAGTAAGCTCCTCACTTAGTGACGAATTTGTTTAACGAGGTGGTCTCAGGAACGTAACTGTCATTAAGAGTGGAGAGGCTGTATATACACATACCCGTCTGTTTTTTTTTCTATTTCCTTACTAACTCTTGTTCTTATTTCCTCTTATCTCCATGGGGAAGTGGAATAGAATTCTTCCTCTGTGAGCCATGCATGTTGTAAGAGGTGACTGAAATGCTGGGAGCAAGGGGCTAGTAACCCCTTCTCCTGTATATATTACTAAATTTAAAAGGAGAAACTTTCATTTTTCCTTTCGGACCACCCTGCCTCAGTAGGATACGGCCAGTTTGTTGAAAGATGACATATGATACTCTGAGAAAGATTAAGAATTTTATATGAAGCACTAGAACTGTGCAGCCATTCAGCACTTTCAATATTAAACTTCTAACAACATTACATTATCATCATCATTATTTTTCATTCATTACCAGTTTGGCTGTACAGAAAATGTCTGAAGCATTGCAATACATAGAGCTTTTAAATAAATTCACTGATGATAATTTTAATTGCGTCTTGTTGAGGCATTCTTTATACACATCTTTCCTAACATCAATCTTATCCCAGGCTTTTTTTTTCTGTAAATGCCTTCCTTTCTCATTACATTGTCAAATGCTCCAAATTTCAGAACACTCATGACTAATTTCCATTCCAATGTTTTCTATACCTTTTCTTTCTTCTGCCTACATGGACTCTGTTTTGTGAGGTTGTTCCCCCTCCCCCCCCATCTTTGTCCTACTCTTGTGGACCATTAGCTCTCATGCAGGTCACCTTGCCTTGGTGGGAGACAGCCAGCATATTAAAAAAAAAAATCTTCATATCAATTAATACAAAATTTTCTTTTCTTTCAAAAATACTCATTAAGGAAGATAACTTTTCTACCAAATGAACACAAATAAAAAACAATATTCCCAAAGTTTAGTCCCCTCCACGGGTTGTTTTTTGGCAGTTTTTAAAAGTATTTATTGGACATCTCGTGCAAACCCTTTTCACCGGGAAAAGAGAAAACAGATCAATGTAGTGAAAATTATACAGATGAAATACAATGCAATTTAAAAATATCCCGGGGGGATGCAAACAAATGTTCCCTTTTATTATGAGATCTTCACATTACCTGTGTAGAAATTTTTATAATGGAAAATTTCAAAGTCCCTTTGGGTAGTGGGTTGGTAGACAACAACCCCCCCAGGGAGGTACTACCTCCTGCCAAGCGATTTAAAAGGGGAAGCCTGTAATTGTTTTACATTTTGGTAGGATTGCTGGTGTCTTTTTTTTCTGTTTCACTAGCAGATTTCAGGTACTCTTGCTATTCTATTACACTTAGGTCACAACACATTCATGTACAAGCATATATAACCCCCCTCTGGTTTTTTTTCTATTTTTTTCTAGTTCTTGTTTTTGTTTTTTTCCTCTTATCTCCAGGGGGAAAGGGGAACAGAATTCTTCCCCTAACCGTGTGGTTTAAGAGGCGACAAAAATCCCAGGAAAAGGGGCAGAAAAACCCCTTCCCCATATATTACAAAACGAAAAGGGGAAACTTTCGTTTTTCCTTTTTTGGGACACCCCGCCCCGAGGGGTTTCGGCCAGTGCATTGAAAGAAAAAATCAAATTTTTTTTTTTTTTTTTTTCAACAATCGGCCGTCCCCCACGGGGCAGGGGCCCCCCAAAAAAAAGAAAATCCCCAAAAAAAAATACTTTCTCATCATTCAACCTTTCACCACACCCCCAACATTATCACTTTTTTAGCGAGGTGCTCAAAAATACAACATTTTTAAAAGCATATTTATAAAATACACAACATATCCCTCCAAACTCCCAATACCCCAAACCCCTCCTTTAAAGTGGGGCATTGTATTCCCCCATTTCCAGGACTCAAATCCCATATAGAAAAAAACCCGGGTTTCCCCGAATCCCTTCACTAAATATTTTCCCCCCCTCACACTCCTATCAACACGCCAGCACGCTTGTTGGAAGTCCAAGCCCCTGCCCCCCAAAAAAACCCCCTTACCCCCTCTTTCCAACCCTTTCAAGGGGCGACCCCTACCCCTCCTTCCTTCCCCCTTTAATTTAAAAAGCTTTCCATGTCTTCTACTTTGACCTTCTCTCTAAAAGACCAAACCACCCCAACAACCCCTCTTCTGCCCTCGACAATCTTTTTTTTTAACTCCACAAACCCTTTCCTAATTTCCACACTCCGAATTTTTGCATAATATTTACACCACACATTGCCCTTAGCGGGCATCCCACGCCCCCCAACCCTTCCTCGCTGCTGCATTTACCACCCAACTTCACATCCATTAAATGTTGGTATACATACTTTCAACATTCCCTTTTTTGCCTCCCTAGATAACGTTTTTTTTACTCCCATATACCTCAACCCCCCACTCACCTTTTTTCCCTATCAAATTTTAGATTAACCTCATCCTTCATAAATCCATCCGCCGACACTCAATCCCCCAAATATCTGAAAACATTCACTTTTTCCATACTCCCCCTCCCCAAATTTTATATCCCTTTTTTTTTATCTAAATCATTTGATACCCTCACACCTTTCTCTTTTTTATGTTCACTTTCAACTTTCTACCTTTACACACATTCTCACACTCATCCACTAACCTTTGCAATTTTTCTTTAGAATCTCCCACAAGCACAGTATCATCAGCAAAAAGTAACTGTGTCAATTCCCATTTTGAATTTGATTCCCCATAATTTAATCCCACCCCTCTCCCGAACACCCTAGCATTTACTTCTTTTACAACCCCATCTATAAATATATTAAACAACCATGGTTGTTTAAGAATCAAAGTACCTAAATTAAATTATTTACTTTGCAATTAACAAGCTTAACAGGTTAACAAGCTTCAATGACTATGGCTGAATATCACACGATGATACAATTGTTTATTAGGATTGGGATAGTGCAACAGAGAAAACTGAGGAAGTACAACATGCTATCAAAAAAATTTCACAATTTGAAATTTTGCATGCTTTCTAGGGAAAATATGGCAGTGGTGGAGATTATACTGTGCAGAACACTCCTTTGTGAAGTAGCATGGCAAGTTTCAGTGCATTCAGTAATTCCGTAGAGGTTAGACAGGCACTTTGTGTGTTGTCAGTGCAATGTTTTGATTTTTTTTTATAGCAGAATGAAATCTTTAAAAGAAAGAACAGAATGGGTGTAAAATTCAGTTTCAAACTCAGCATAACCTTTATACCTTTGATGTACCTTGGAAGAGTTTCAAGAGTTTATCTACTCTCTGAGCCTGGCCATGGGACAGGCCTGTCTGGTGCTTGCCTGATCAACCAGGCTGTTGCTGCTGGAGGCCTGCTGCCCCACATATCCATCACAGCCTTGTTGATCTGGCACCTGGTGAAAATACTTGTCCAGTTTCCTCCTGAAGGCTGCTACACTTGTTCCAGCAGTGTTTCTGATATCTTTTAGTAAGATGTTGAATAGTCTGGGATCCCGAATGTTGATACAGTGTTCCCTTATTGTCCCCACTGCACCCCAGCTCCTCACTGGGTTTATTTTACACTTCCTCCCATATCTCTCGCTCCAGTATGTTGTTATGGCAGTGTGAAGATTTGGGACCAAGCCCTTGAGTACTTTCCAGCTGTATATATTATGTATCTCTCTCTCCTCCACTCCAATGAGTACATGTTCAAGACTTGAAGGCATTCCCAGTAATTCAAGTGCTTTACTGGCTCAATGCAAGCCATAAACAATCTCTGTACAGTGGAACCTCTACTTATGAGTTTAATCCATTCCATGACCTTGCTCGCAAGTGGATTTGCTCGTTTGCAGAGTCAATTTTCCTCATTTAAATTAACTGAAATGGAATTAATTCGTTCCAGTGGAATTCCAGGCACAAGAATTTTTTTTTTTTTAGCAAGTCGGCCGTCTCCCACCGAGGCAGGGTGACCCAAAAAGAAAGAAAAAATCCCCAAAAAGAAAATACTTTCATCATCATTCAACACTTTCACCTCACTCACACATAATCATTGTTTTTGCAGAGGTGCTCAGAACACAACAGTTTAGAAGCATATACGTATAAAGATACACAACATATCCCTCCAAACTGCTAATATCCCAAAACCCCTCCTTTAGAGTGCAGGCATTGTACCTCCCATTTCCAGGACTCAAGTCCGGCTATATAAAAATAACCGGTTTCCCTGAATCCCTTCACTAAATATTACCCTGCTCACACTCCAACAGCTCATCAGGTCCCAAATACCATTCGTCTCCATTCACTCCTATCGAACACGCTCATGCACGCCTGCTTATTTATCTATCACAATTCATGTAATATGACATAAACAATATTAATAACATAGAAACATGATATATACACTAGAATGAATAAAATACATGTCAATAGGTATGTGGCTAGTGGTGGTGACAGCAGCCATTGTTGTTGGGGTTTATAGGGCCACCACAGCGGCCATTCCTGCTTCTGACTACATGTGTAGAGAACCTAGGATAACCCAAAAAAGTCAGACAGAGTGACTTATAAGTGCTACACTCTTAATGCTTCACTTAATTGCTACACTCTTAATGCTACACTTAATTGCT